GAAGGCCCTGCTGCCGTCTGTGTTCTGTAAACAAATGCCTACGTGTGTGCTTGGCCAGCCAGAGCCAAAGGACAAACATGGCTGGGCCGATTTTATGGAGCCCCGGTCTCAGTGAGGACATATTCATTGTCGTCTCTTTAGCTGTGCAGTCCCTGTGTATGTCCGCTGGGAATTCCAGCCTGTGGAGAGGGAGGTTTTACAATCCGCATTCAAATTTAGATTCCATGTGCTTTGCTCTCTTTTTTTAAAAAAAATTATTGGGAGGGAAGGTACATACACTCTCCAGAGAGAGAGAGACAGAGAGAAAGAAATCATCTGCCCACAGGGTGGTGTCACATTCAAGCTCCTCTCCTCTATTGCTCCGTCTATTGGGATTTGGAACACCCATGTCCAAACCTGCCATGTTTTTCAGGCCGCTAGGGCCAGGATTCAAACCACACTGCTGGCCATATAGCATCTGGCTCTTCTAGCCAGGAGGCATGAAGTCAGCCCTCCCTTTTTTTTTTTTTTTTTTTTTTTGTAAGTTTCTTTCTTTCTTTCATGAGAAGAGGGAGAGACAGGGACCCTCATCAGGATCTTGTCACAACACAGTCCCCCAACCCTGCAGCCTTTCAGTCATCCAGAATCGCCGTACACTTATGGGCATGTTCGCTCACGGCCAACCCCAGATCCTAACCCAGCACCTTCCCCTACAAGTCCAGCATTGTGTAGCAGCATCCTACCACCAGCCAACCACCTTAGCACCAGTCCAGACACTTCCTAAAACAAGTTCTGGGGCCAGCAGGTAGTGTTGTGGTTGGGGTGCTGGATTCCTACATGGTTGACCATGGTTCGAGTCCCACATCCAGCGGCTTGAAACTCATGCCAAGGACATGTGAATCCCAAGAGGAGAACAGAGAAGGGATTGCAGCATGGCCATCACTCCTGAGAGGTGATTTATCACTTTCTCTCTGTTTCTCTTTGTCTCTGTGGCAAAAACCTAAAAAATATTTCCAAATGATTGCGGTCAAAGTGCATCTGGTTTCTGGGGTGGACTTGAACGCTGTGCCTCTTCTGGGAAGAATTCTGACTTTGGCAACCGGCCGCATGCTCCATTTCTTCCTTTTCCTTCCCTGTCCCCTCACCACCCCGATGGAAGTTTGCTTCCCATCATTTCCCCTTTGGGGGAAGGTGCTAGGACACAGTACCTCCTTGGAGGTCCATAGGGACTTGGGGATTGTGTTCCAAATGCAATGCCCACTCCGTGTCTTGCCTCTATGCTGGGGCTCAGACGGAGAGCCAGTGCAAGGGGGAGCACGAACTGCAGCCCCATGGTAGAGGCTGCCTGGGGGAAGGGTGCGAGTGTGTGTAGAGAACTCTCCATGGAGCTCTGTACAATGGACAAGGTGATAAGAAAGACCCAGCCTGGGCCAGCAGGTGGCATGGTGGTTAAGACTCTCACTCCCGTGTGGCTGACTGCAATTTAAGTCCCAGACCTGGCAGCTTCTTTCTTCACTTTCTCTCTCTTTCTATCTCTCTGGTCCAATTAAAAAATAACCATAAGGGGACCAGCAGATGATGTAATGGTTACATCACTGGATTCCCATGTAGTCGATTGCAGCTCGAGTCCTGGATCTGGCGTCTTAAAACTCAGGCTGGACGTGTGTGCGTGCATGCCCCAAATCCCGAGAGAATGGAGGAGAAGGGAATGCGGTTGGCCATCCACCCTGGCAGGGGAGGGTGATTTCTTGTTTTCTGTCTCTCTGTCTCTCCGGCAAGTACATGTGCCCTATAGCAAAAATCTTTCTAAAACAATAATAATGATAAGTAAAAAGAAATAAATATTTTTTTTTTTAAAAGAGAGACAGATCCTGCCACTGGGAGGACTTCTCCAGGTAGAGAAAGAGTCAGTCCAAAGTTCCACGGGAAGGTCAATGTGGCCTGGTGGGGGAGGGCCGGGAAGGGAGGCTGGAGCCTCAGAGGCCCTTAGCCGTGCAGTCCCCTTGGCCTGGGACAGTCCCAGCTTACTCCCCGTGTTCCAGCTGCTTGTAGCATTCCCTTTGGCTCACAAAAAAGGGTCCCTGCTTATTTAGTAAGTGACACAGTCACACTCTGACAGGGCAGAGCAAGAAGTCTAGATTTTCCTTATCTTAACTGCAACAGAAGCCACTGGGGAGTTCTGAGCAAAGCAGCAACAGGATCAGGCCTTTCCTTCCCTCACCAAATATTTGTTGAGTGTCAGGTGCTGTCCCCAGCTCCGGGGACATAACTGTGAGCCACATTTGCCTGAACTTTCTGCCCCCCACGGAGCTTCTATTCCGGTATTAGAAAAGCTGGCATCTCACTAAATCAACCAGTTCTCCGCAACTCCTGGTGGCCTGGGCATGTCGAGGCACCCATCGGACAGATAAGAAAATGAAGGCAAAAGAATGTCCTGCTGGTTCTATGGATTGGCCGATTGTGCTAGAGAGTGCCTGTCCTCAACAGAGAGAGACAGAGACAGAGAGAGACAGAGAGAGAGAGAGAGAGAGAGAGAAGGCACCTCTCACAGGCCATGGTCACACAGCAATCCCTTCTCTCCATCCTGTCGGGATTTCAGGCATGCATACACCCACATGTGCTTGGTGTATTTCTCAAGCCACAGAGTCCAGGATTTGAACTATGGGGTTGGCCATGTGGGCTCTGGCTACCTTATATACCAGGCCACAGAGCTAGCCGTTTTTAAAAATTTAATGATTAAAATGCATGAACTACCTAAGTTCCCAAATTCGGTCCAGAGGGGAGGTCTTTCCTGGGAGCTTCATACAGTGTGGGTTGCCCCTGACTCCTACGCTCACCCACACAAGCTGTGGCTGGCAAGCCCGGGAGGGGTCCCCCTAATGGGGCCCTTCACTCCATCCTGGTTCTACCTCCAAGGAACTGGTTTATAAATGCTCTCAGAATCCCAGCTTGAGCGACCTAAGCACGAAGGAGCACTTGCCATTGGCACATGCCACCATCTGCCTCTGTTGGGGGGACTTAGGCATAGAGCTGACTGCAATGAGGACAACGAAACATGACAGGAGGAGTCTTCAGGTATGGCTGGATCCAGCAACCCTGATGATGTTATCTGGAGCCCTCTCTCACACCATCTCTTGGCTTTGCCATCCTTTGTGCTGGTTTCAGTCTCCTGCTAGGGTTCCCAGTAACTTAAGGTCTCTAAATAGACACCCAGAAATTTAGACCAGAGCTTCGGTTTCTGAATTCTTTTGTTGAGTCCTGGAGTTGGATTCTGTGGGGCCATACATTCGTCACTGAACAAGTCGCTGTCTCCAGGAAGATAGACGGCATTAATTGGCCAACCCTGAGTCGTGTCCTAACACACACACACACACACACACACACACACACACACACGCAGTTCAGGGCGGGGACAGCCCTTCCCCAAGTGCATGGAATGAGCGCTGGGGAGGGGAGATTCCCCAAGGAAAATCTGTACGCTGGCTGAAAGGAGAGCATGGCACGAAGGCAGGCACAACGACTGGCGCCTACTACTCATGCCCTTTGTCCTGAGAAGAAATGGCGCCCGCAGGGAGGGTGGGCAACTCCTTTCCCATGGCTTCCAAATCACAGGCTCTCCTGCAACCCTGAAGGAGGACGGGTGGGTTTTTGGAATCAGCCAAGGTGGTTGGAAATCCACATCTTTTCCCGGCTTCTGTCTTGCCGCGAGCTATCAGGGGTCTCTTCCCATGGGTAACATAGGCCCCTGGGGCCGAGACTGGCATGGAGTCTATGGCTCCAGTCCTTGAAGGCTGGGTTTTGGGGGAGACATGTGTCTTTGGACCACAGTCCCAAGAGAAGCAGATGCTGAGAGGACTTCAGAGGTTCCAGGCAGAGCCCCTCCTACCCCCCCCCCCACACCTGCCTTGGGGAAGGGGAGGGGCTAGGATCTGTAACTTGAGACCTCTGAAGCCACCAGGCCCTGTCCCCAGGGGTACTGGAACACTTTGCCCCTATCCCTTCTGAAGCCTCCAGTCCCTGGGTGAGGATACAGCTCTCGTTTCCAGGGGCAGAGCTGGGAAAGGGGGAGGCCCAGGAATGGGATGTGGGGTGGGGAAGCAGGAAGGACCGCTGCTCTTCTGGCCTGGGCAAGGGCCTCCAGTGAAACAGGGCTGCCCCTGTGCCTCTCACCTACCTGGCCTCAAGGTCACTCTTTGAGGGTGGGAAAGGAAACCTATTCGCTGAGCACCAGCTGGTGCGAGAATCTTCACCTCCTCCCAGAGCTGTTCCAGGAGGTGGCCTGGCCATCAGCCTATCCACTGGAGCAGGAGCAGGGGCAACCCATGGCCCACTGGAGTTCACCCAGATCCACAGAGTGTAGATGGTGAAGCCAAGACTACACACCCGACAAGGCAGGCGACAAGGCGCCACCCTCCCAGCTGCCCTCTCATCTAAAAGAATGGGATGGGAGGTCAGGGAGGGAGAGGGGAGGAGGTGAGAAGCAACCACAGAGCTCATCTGGTCTGGGAGGGCAGGAGGAGGCGCAGGGAGGGAGGGGGAACGGAGCCCCACCCGCAGAGCCAAGCCCCACCGGGGGACCAGGAGGAGGGCTTCCTCTCAGTGTCTTCATGCCACAAGATGTAAAATAATCCCCTAGGCTCAGAAAAACACATTTTATGGCTGTCTGACTCATTTCCCACAAAACTAGGTTCAACACTCCCCCCACACCGTTTAGAGCTTTTGTTTTGAAAAATAAAAAATATGTTGAAAATTTCAAGATGACTTTTAGACATAAATTGTTCTCTTCCTCACCCTCGTCCCAGGCCCCCCTCACCTAATTTCCTAAAATGTTGGCTGCCAGAGCCTCGGGAGGACCCAGTCCAAGTGGGTGTGGGATGACTCTTGAGTCTTGGCGACACAGCCCCCAGGGCCACCGTGGCGGACGCCTGCTGGGCACTGAGATGGGCCGAGGGGCCCCCTGGGGAGGGGGCCCGGCCTGGTATTAGCTGCAGTTCTCCTAAGCTTTCTGGTTTAGGGGTCCCATGCGGGCCCTACTGTGCCTGGTCATCTTCCCAGCTGCTTCCAGGGATACAGGTAAAGTCTGGCTGCTGCCGCCCACCCCGACCCCCTGCCCTCTGGGCTGAGGGGTGTTCTGCAGGGCAGCCTCATTCTCTGAGCCAGGACGGCCTGGCCCTTGTTTCTTTGCTGCTTTCCAGCAAAGAGCAGAGACCCCACACATGAAGCATGGGGCCCCTATGGACCCCAAATCCATCAGGGCTTTCAGTGACTCCACATACGTGTTGGATTCAGTCGCCTGACTTCTCCGGTCCTTGAATTTTCCCAACATTCCTCACCCCCCATCAGCCTCCCCGTGTTTTAGGCAGGACAGAGAGCACCACATAGCACAGGACTCCCATCAGCTGAGGAAGCCGAGCTCGGACCACGGGCTGACCTGGCCCCTGCTGTCCCCCAGTGGCCCAGGTTGGAGCCCAGGGCTCAGACAGAGGGCTCAGGTGAAAGGACCTGTCCCAGGTTGCTGGTTTCTGGTACGTAATGTGGCCATACCTGGAGGGCCGGTACTCACAAAGCTGGCCTTTTCTTCTTGGCCCATCCAGGGTCCTCCAGGCAGCACTCAGGCCCCCATCTCTCCATCTCCCTGGGGCTGGCTTCCTAAGGGGTTCCTGGGGGTAGGGGCTGGGAGGGAACCTGCGTCTGCCACACCCAGGCCATGCCCTTTGCCCATGGACTTAGGATCTTGGGATCTGGGAGGAGACCGAGGCCCCGTCCTTGGCTGCCACGAGCCCTACTCGGGGCCCACAGCTCTGCAGGGCCAGGCACCTGCCCCTTGACTGGTCCACCTCTAGGAACATGCCCTGACCTGCCAGCCCCTCACAAGATCTGAGCCACTGAGCACCGAGGAGCTGGGTTCCAGTGCCTGCCACGTGCTAAGTGCAGCCCAAGCTGGGCACAGTGTCAATCCACGAGCACACTCGGGCCCATAGGAGCTGCCCAGGTGGCTGGGTCTGTTCCACTCTGCCCCACCCCTGGGCAGCTCTGGACTTCCAGGGCTCTGGGCTCCCACCTAGGAGAGGAAGCAGCTGTGAGAAGAGGCTTGGAGGGGTGGGTTGTCTTGCCTGCCGAGGGCTCTGCTGGAGGATGGGGCGGTTAGCTGGGGCTGACATGCCTCCCCACCAGGGGCAAGAGGAGGTTGGGGTCTCCCAGGTTGGCTGGGCCATGGGCATCAGGGGAAGGGCCAGAGGTGACCCCAACTTCCTTAACCACAAGAAAATGACTCAGCTAAATTGAGGAAGACTTCCGTTTCGGCAGAATATTTTTCCACTATCGTAAGACCTTTTCACCCACAGACTCCAGAGGAGCTGAGTACCCCAGTAAGGGCTTTGGGGAGTTTCGGTTTGAATAGTCAATGCTGCTTCTTAATCATTATTTTGAAAAGGCAGCTCTTGGCTTTCCAGCAGGTGGTTGGGTCCTGGGGAAACAAGCTGGTCGTGTGTGTGTGTGTGTGTGTGTGTGTGTGTGTTTGTGTGCACGTGCATGTTCACGTATGCATGTGTATGCGTGTAAGTGTGCAGCCATGCATATGCACCTTGAGGACTCTGGGGCCCTTCGGCCTGGGTCTGCAGACCCTTTGCCTGGGTCTGCAGAAGTGACCTGGATTTTCCAGCCCTCATGACCCTGCCAGCCTGAGTGGGGCTAACGGCCACGCTGCCAGGCAGCAGGCCTCTGAGAGAAGAAAGGCTTCCCTGCCGAGGGCTCTGCTGGAGGATGGGGCGGTTAGCTGGGGCTGACATGCCTCCCCACCAGGGGCAAGAGGAGGTTGGGGTCTCCCAGGTTGGCTGGGCCATGGGCATCAGGGGAAGGGCCAGAGGTGACCCCAACTTCCTTAACCACAAGAAAATGACTCAGCTAAATTGAGGAAGACTTCCGTTTCGGCAGAATATTTTTCCACTATCGTAAGACCTTTTCACCCACAGACTCCAGAGGAGCTGAGTACCCCAGTAAGGGCTTTGGGGAGTTTCGGTTTGAATAGTCAATGCTGCTTCTTAATCATTATTTTGAAAAGGCAGCTCTTGGCTTTCCAGCAGGTGGTTGGGTCCTGGGGAAACAAGCTGGTCGTGTGTGTGTGTGTGTGTGTGTGTGTGTGTGTGTTTGTGTGCACGTGCATGTTCACGTATGCATGTGTATGCGTGTAAGTGTGCAGCCATGCATATGCACCTTGAGGACTCTGGGGCCCTTCGGCCTGGGTCTGCAGACCCTTTGCCTGGGTCTGCAGAAGTGACCTGGATTTTCCAGCCCTCATGACCCTGCCAGCCTGAGTGGGGCTAACGGCCATGCTGCCAGGCAGCAGGCCTCTGAGAGAAGAAAGCGGTAACATCTCTTTATACTGCCCAGGCTCAGCTGTTATAGCCGCGGGCAGCCCTGGGCTCAGTGAGATTAGAGAGCTTCTTCCCAGAGGCCCTGTGTGAGCACCAGCCTATCGGGGCTCAGATCTAGGCCTGGCCCTGGATTCTAGGGTGAAGAGCTGGGGCATCTCCCATATAGCTCTGCGCCCCAGACAGGCGGGGTGGCAGGTAGGATCTTCCAAGGGTGGTAAACCTGACCCTGGACCTGTGACTTCCAGCCTAATGGGTATGCTCAGGACAAGCCCTGCTTCAGGTGCCAGATGGGGAACTGCTTTGGGCTGGCTCCTCCCTCTTCGAGTCCAGCCCAGGTGGGCTGCATGGAGGTATGCACCAGCAGGCTCTGGCCTGGGCTTAGCAGTGAGCACGAGGGTGTGGAAAGTACCCAGGCAGGAAGGTGCTCTTACCCTGCAGAGGCCCCCTGTGTCTGCTCCCTTGCCCCTACTCCTGTAAGACCCAGAGGTGGGGAATGATCCCTGCTTCTTCCCTGAGGCCCTGACCTTCCAGGGGAGTAACGGGGTACAGATTCCTTCTTCCTACCCCATTGCTGGCTGGACCTCATTTTGCTGGATCCCCCAACACAATCCAGCTCCGCCTGCCTTCTGCCTTGGGACAGGGTCAAGTTTCCCAGCCTGGGCACGCGTTAGAGTCTGAAGCTGCCCAGTAGAAGAGGCCTCACCCTCTCTGGGGATTTCAGAGGGCAGATTGGACCAAGCTGCTGTAGCTCTGGAGCTAGGGCAAGGGTTCTGTCTGGGGCCAGGACATGTGTCCTGGCTCCATGGTCTCCCCAAGGCCCAGTTACTGGCCAGACTCCCGGGGGTGGGATGTGGTGGGGGACTGCGGATGCTGGGGAAGGAGGTGAGGCTGGCAGGTCCCCTGGGTGCTGGCAATTGTAGGGCAAAGGGCAGGTCGGATGGAGGAAGTAGAGCAGGGGGCGCTGAGAAGATACCCAAACCAGGAGCCTGAGCCCTGTGCCCCCTCAGGGAGACAGAAAATGGGACCAATCAAGAAAGGAAGGAGCTGAGAGTTAGAAATGGCTTGGGGCTGAGACAGGCCAAGGGCAAAGGCAAGGCATGCAGAGAAAGCGACTCAGAGGAGGAGACTGGAGGACGGAGTAAGCACGGTGGGGTCGGACATCTCCAGACACCCGATCCAGCTTGTCTGAGCTGGCAAAGAGCCCTCTTCAGAGCCCCAGGAGCCAGGCTGGAGCTGGGAACTGGGATTTTCCCAGGTGAGCTGCCGGCTACCTCTGGCCCTTCCTGCTCATTGACCTTGCCTTCTGCTCACAGAGGTCCCAGGGCTCACACAAGATAGCTGTGCCTGTGAGTGGGGTTTCTGTGAGTGTGTGTGTGCATGTCTGTGTGTGTGTGTGTGTGTGTGTATACACGTGTCTCTGTGTGCCAGTGCACGTGTCTGTGTGTGTGTGCATGTGGACATGTCTGTGTGCATGCATCTCTGTGTGCCTGTGCACATGTCTGTGTCTGTGTGTGTGCATGTGCACATGTCCGCATACGCATGTGCACATGTGTGACGCTGTACATGTCTGTGTGCTTGTGTCTCTGTGTACCTGTGCATGCGTCTGTGTGTATGCATGTGGACATATCTGTATGTATATGTGCACGTGTGTGCCTGGGCACATGTCTGTGCATGCATCTTTTGTGCCTGTGCACATGTGTGCATGTGTCTCTGTGTGTGCATATGCACATGTTGACATATGTATGTGCACATGTGTGACCCTGTACATGCTGGTGTGCATGTGTCTGTGTGTACCTGTGCATGTGTCTGTGTGTATGCATGTGGACATATCTGTATGTATATGTGCACGTGTGTGCCTGGGCACATGTCTGTGCATGCACCTGTGTGTGCCTGTGCACATGTCTGTGTGCATGTGTCTGTGTGCATGTGTCTGTGTGTGTGCATGCATCTGCGTGTGCCTGTGCACATGTTTGTGTGCATGTGTCTCTGTGTGTTTGTGTGTGTGCATGTGCACATGTCCGCTTATCCATGTGCACGTGTGTGTGACTGTGTACATGTCAGTGTGCATGTGTCTGTGTGTACCTGTGCACGTGTCTGTGTGTGTGTGTGCAGGTAGACATGTCTGTGTGTATGTGCATGTGTGTGTGCCTGTGCACATGTCTGTGCATGCATCTGTGTGTGCCTGTGCACATGTCTGTGTGCATGTGTCTGTGTGTGCATGTGCACATGTCCGCATATGCATGTACACGTGTGTGTGTCTGTGTACATGTCAGTGTGCATGTGTCTGTGTGTACCTGTGCATGCATCTGTGTGTGCCTGTGCACATGTCTGTGCATGCATCCGTGTGTGCCTGTGCATGTGTCTGTGTGCATGTGTCTGTGTGTGCCTGTGCACAGGTCTGTGTATATGTGTCTGTGTGTGCCTGTGCGCAGGTTTGTGTGTGTACTGTACGAGTTCATTGTATCTGAAGCCCTCTGCACCTAGGAATCTGTTCGACCCAGGACTGAGTCCCGGCTTCTCCTCCACAGCAGAGCAGAAGAGGCAGTCCCTTCTCCTCAGGTTGCCTCCACCCAGGAGGTTCTTGGGCTCCCAGGACCCACAAGTGCTAGATGGAGGAAGAGCCTGACTGGCTGGAGGCCCCTGACCCGCCTACTTCCTTGCAGAGCCAACCTCCAGCCTCTGTAGTGAGATGGAACCCAAATGCTCCCAAGGTGGGCCACAGAATAATTTTTGTATGCAAAACTCAGCGTGCACATGAGCGTGCACAGCCATGCAAGTGTGGACGTTCACAGCCACCTCCTTGTAGTGAGCCTGTCAGCCTAAGCCCCACTTGCCCATCTTCCCTGGTCCAGAACCTTCGATAGCTCCCAAAAGCCCAGGGGACCAACCCAAGGCCTCTGCCTCTCACTACCTGGCAGAGGGCCTAGCCCGCCCCCTTGATCACCAAATCTCCTCTGAACCTCCCTCGCGGCAGCCAGGTGGGTTTTTCACCAGCGCTGCTCGCCGGTCACATTTGGCATCAGTGTTCTCTGGTGTGCGCACCCGTGGTTACTGTGTAGCTGTGGCATCTGTCTCTGCAGGGTCTGAGTCAGGTGTGAACCAGGAAAGGAGCCTGACTGCTCTTGTCAGGGAGGAGTCCGGGGGGTACTGACTCGGGCACAGCCGGTCTCAGTCATCACGCTCCAGGCCCAGCTCTCGGTGCTACTTCCTGTTGTGTGCAGGCAGGCTCCTGGCACGATAGCCACTAGGCTCACATTCCCCTGCTCTGCCACCCAGGGAAATGAGTTTTCTCAGTATTTCTAGCAAAAGTCTCAGGGCTGACACTCAGAGCACGTGACCCACTTCCGATCCACTTCCCTGGGCTTGGGGACACCAGGGGCTGCCTCAGAAGAAGGAAGAGAATGGTGGGCAGCCAGGATCAGGGTCCTCTGGAACCCGCGTGTGTGAGTGATTACCCGGGGTGGGTTAGGAACACAGGCTGTTCCTATCCTCAGCCTCACTCCGATCCAGAATGGGGTCTAGAATGCTTTAGCTGGAAAGCCCTGGGAGTCCCGCTCCATTTCTTATTGTACAGATGGGGACACTGGGGCCCAGGGAGCTGGGACACTGAGGCCCAGGGTGCCAGGACACTGGCCCAGGATCACACAGCCAGTGAGGCCAGAGCTGGGGATCGAACAAGAGCTCTTGACAGCCGGTCCTGACTGTGCACGCCAGGTGCTCAGTGCAGCTCACCACGTAGGTCAGGGTCACCTGCCCCAAGCCTGGCCTGCCTGTGACGGTGTTGACACTGCGACAGGTCCCAGATACCAGCGTCCTCAGAATCACATCAGGTCTTGTTGCACCCACAGAAGTTCAGCCCTGGGGGGCTCGAGGCTGTGCCAGGGGCCCCAGCAGTGCCGACCAGGGGACTGAGGCCAGGGCTTGAGAAACCCCAATTGGCACACGCCAGCACAAGAAGGAGGAGCCTACCCCAAAGGCCAGAGGGTGGGGAAGAGGGTGTAAAGAGAACAGGGCTAGTGCCAGGGGTGGGAACAGTTTCCAAGGCTGATCCATGGTGGGGAGCGGAGAGGCCCACTCATCCCAACCACCCTTCAGGGCTCCAGCTCTGCAGCTGGGGAGGGGGAGAGAGGCCTGGACTGAAAGGGCAGAAGAGGTCAAGGGGCGGAGAGGCCGTGAGGGGCCCAGCGGGCTCCAGCAGGCTGTGGACACTTGGCCAGAAAGGCCTGTTTACTCAGAGGCCCGCGAGGTCAAGGCCCAGGCCCTGGGTAAATTATTAACGGCCGCCTGGCTGGCCCGGCTCGTGGCTGCCCAGTGTAGGGAGGGCCAGAGTGCAGAGCCCAGGCACCACCCTACTGCCCGCTACACCAGGGGCCCTGGAGTGGCCCAGGGCACTGACTCTCTGCAGCCCCCAGGTCCTCTGTCACCCTCCTTGTCACCTCGAGGTGGACCTGTGCCAGGATCCTGGTTGTACCAAGGCAGGAGAAAGGAGGCCGAGGCTCTTAAAGCAGCTCTGTTTGCCTCTAGCAGCTCAGCCTCTGGGGCGTCCTGCCTAGTGGGGTGAGGATGGGGCAGAAGAGGCAGGTCAGAGTGGGTGGGAGGGGTCAGGATAATGCCTGTTTCCCTGGCAGGGGACAGGGTTGGTGGCAGGATGCAGGACTGGAAGTGGTGTCTGTGCCTAAGCCCGAGCTCACAGGGGCACAGAGAGACTAGCGTTTCTCTGGCGACCCCCAAGGAAGCTGCTGCTTATGACCCTGCTCAGGGGCAGCAAAGCTCCATGCCATCGGGCTAGATTCCCACCACCTTCTACAAGGAGCCTGGCTAAGCTGGGGCAGGCACAGCTCCATGCCCACCCAGAGGAGAGCGTCTTCCTTCTTGAAAGAGCAAGCGCTGACGCTGACACTGACCAGGGAGCCACGGCCATATTAGCAGCCTCTGGGATGCAAATCCCCACTTTGGCCTGGGGATTAGGCCCTCCCCGCCAGGCTGGAGCAGGGAGCACCTGGTGGGGCAGGGTACAAGGACGTGGTGGCAGGGTGGCTTAGTGCTCACCTTCTCGGATTCAGCCTCCCAGTCAGCCTTGCCTTCTGCCTGATCCAAGACCTGGGGCCATGCCGGGGAAATGGGGGTGAAGGCATGGAGGAGGCTCAGTATCTGCATTGCAAGCGGCTGCTGCTCAGAGGCCCCAGGCTCTCAGAGGTGACAGGAGGTGACAGCGGTGTAAACCCTGCTACAGCACAGATGTTGCCTCAGCAGGTGGGCACAGCCCAGGCTCTGTATGTCTCATGAGCTCCAGGACAGGACTCTGGCCCCGGAGGGGCGATGCTTCCAGACGGCCCCCCACATGGCGGAGTTCCTTTGGAGCTTTTCATGGACGCTGAGATTGATAAATCAGTAGCCACCGGAGTGTCATTTTTCTTTGTTGAGGCTTGGGGGTAAAGCTGCTTAGTTGGAGGAGCCTTGACAGCCCCTTATTGCTCATGAAATGCTACCCTGGGGGTGCTGTCCCTGCCTCCGCAGCAGCAAAAAGACATCCAGGTCTAGGGCCCCCAGCCTGCCCGCCTGGTGGGTGGCGTTTCCTTTGACCTGGCACAGGGTGAAGACTTTCTGTGGCTGCCTCGGAAATCCCAGCGAGGTAGGCACGTGGCCTCTTGGCCGCAGGCACAGCAAAAGCCTGCACGGTCCAGACCCTCAGTGTCCACTTCAGGACACCATTGTTCCCTTTTCAAGGCACCACTTCTGCCTGACCAGGAAATCCTGAACCGAGGCTGCCCGTCCCTCCCTGAGTCAACACTCCCTGAGTGCTGGGAAGGAGGGCGGGGCAGGGGGAAGGCAGGCCCCAGGACCCCTCCAGCAGCACCAGCCCTAGGAGGGCAGGGCCAAGAGAGCTGTGTGTGTGCGTGCGCGCACACACACACACACACCTACACAGAGATGTGTAGACAGCCATACACATGTAGGCACATGCATTTATACAGACCCACACAAACACTCACAGACACAGACAAACATGCACATGCAAAGACACATACGCTGCGGTCACACAGGTACACACACATGCACATACATGCACAGGGCAGACAAAGACACACAGCCCTTCCTGCCCCCAGGAACCATCCCAAAGCCCAGGCCTGTATGAGTCATGCCCCCATGAGCGCATGTGCACCCGCGCATGTGCACACACTGCCTTGCTTTCCTGGTGGCCTTCACACTATTTGGTGGCTTCCCTCACAGACATCAGCCACCCAGTGCCCAGGAGGCTACTCCATGACACTCCCAGGAGCTCTAAGACCAGGACTGAGCACCTGAACTGCACACCAGCTTCTGTCTTGAGCCAAACACTGCCCAGGGTGTCCCCTACGCTGTTGGGGAAATAGCCCAGATAGGAAGAGGTGGCATCTGACATCCCTGAGTCTGGCCAGGGATGGGCTGGGGATGGGGGTGCCCATGACCCAGCTGGAGGAGTGGGCAAGGGTCTCAGGGTTGGTCCCCAGAGGCAGACCATTGACTCCTATGGATCTACCTGGCTAGATGGCCCCTGGGAGGGGGATCTGTATCTGGCACATAGTAGGTCTCTCCGTATGGAGTAGCTGGGTGAGTGGATAGAAGCCTGGCAGTGGAATCCTCTGTCCTGTCTGCTGGGCCCCAGAGGGCCCTGCCACCCTGCGACCTGCCTGGCTCCCTTCCACCACGTGACAGCTGGTTCAGGTGAGCCAGCCTGCCTGCAGGTCCTGTGTCTGGAGCGGCGGGCGGGCAGCCCTGGGACATGCCCACACATGGCTCCCCTGTGGCCACAAACCTCGCCAACGCCAGAGCCAGGCCAAGAGCAGCAGTCTCGGGGCCTGTCCTCCGCCCACTCCTGCTCAGCCCTCCACGCCTGCCACAGCAAGAGACCCGGCCCTCACCTCCCCCCTGCCACAGCAAGAGCCCCGGCCCTCCCCTCCTTTGGCAAGTCCTAGGCTCCATCCACACACCAGCCTCCCAGTGAGGACGGGCAGCTCCCCTTGCCCTGCCCAGAGGTCCCAGGCCTGACTCCTCACCCAACAGCCAGGGATCTGAGCAAATGCCAGTCGGATCCTGGTCCTCGCCCAGCCTCCAGAGGCTTCCCAGAGATGGGATGAGGGTGACTCTAAACCCAGGAAACAGGGCTTAGTTAAGTGGCAAGTTGGTTGGATAGCAGGTTATTGGGGTGACGTTTGTTTGCTCTGCGCAGTAGCTGAGCGTGCACCGTGTTTGAGGGGCAGCGAGTCTGCTCCTGGAAGGGCCTGTATGGCCCGCTCACCCTCCACACCTCTGCCCCTCTGAGGGGCTATGGTGGTTCCATCTGCCCCCCATGCGGCTGGCCTCCATCTCTGGGACTTCGCTTGGTTTCTCTGGACTTGCAGCTCCCTCAGGTCTTTGCTTGGCTGTCCCCTTTTCTCAGTAAGGTTTCAGCTCTATTGCCACCTCCCCAGAGAGGCAGCCTCTAGTCACCGCCCGGTGACATTCTATTGTCAGCTCCCGCAGGCACAGCAAAAGCCTGCACGGTCCAGACCCTCAGTGTCCACTTCAGGACACCATTGTTCCCTTTTCAAGGCACCACTTCTGCCTGACCAGGAAATCCTGAACCGAGGCTGCCCGTCCCTCCCTGAGTCAACACTCCCTGAGTGCTGGGAAGGAGGGCGGGGCAGGGGGAAGGCAGGCCCCAGGACCCCTCCAGCAGCACCAGCCCTAGGAGGGCAGGGCCAAGAGAGCTGTGTGTGTGCGTGCGCGCACACACACACACACACCTACACAGAGATGTGTAGACAGCCATACACATGTAGGCACATGCATTTATACAGACCCACACAAACACTCACAGACACAGACAAACATGCACATGCAAAGACACATACGCTGCGGTCACACAGGTACACACACATGCACATACATGCACAGGGCAGACAAAGACACACAGCCCTTCCTGCCCCCAGGAACCATCCCAAAGCCCAGGCCTGTATGAGTCATGCCCCCATGAGCGCATGTGCACCCGCGCATGTGCACACACTGCCTTGCTTTCCTGGTGGCCTTCACACTATTTGGTGGCTTCCCTCACAGACATCAGCCACCCAGTGCCCAGGAGGCTACTCCATGACACTCCCAGGAGCTCTAAGACCAGGACTGAGCACCTGAACTGCACACCAGCTTCTGTCTTGAGCCAAACACTGCCCAGGGTGTCCCCTACGCTGTTGGGGAAATAGCCCAGATAGGAAGAGGTGGCATCTGACATCCCTGAGTCTGGCCAGGGATGGGCTGGGGATGGGGGGGTCCATGACCCAGCTGGCGGAGGGGGCA